GAGGCAGACCTTTGCGATTTAAAGCTCTGATTGACACTACAACTGTTGTGGACAGTATCATAAAAAACTCACTTTTCTCAAGAGATCTCTTTTAGAGATAAGTTCACCTTTTATATATACAATATTCATTTTGTTTTTATTTGGTGCAATAAAGAGTTAATTTTTTTAAGTTTACGAAAAAATAAATCAGGACCCAAAAGGAATTTTAGTACTAACAAAACTGATCTAAGGAATGTTTACGATTAAATCGATATGGAGATCATTAATCGACGTCGGACGTATCGGTACAATATCGACAAGTGATCGATTCGTATTCTTTCGAAAGTAGTCTTTTAAAATCCGGTACACGAGAACCAAAATATGTTTTTCTATAATTTCATAAGCCATATCTAGGCGCTCTTTTTAGTTGTGAATCAAAATTCCATTGTGTATGGACTGAATTATTTCAAAAAAAGAACGTCCAATTTTTGCTAATTAATATCAAACACGACGCTATTCAAACGTGTTACTGCCTCCTGATTGGTCAAATTGGCCTAAAGTCATTGCAAGCGGGCCTTAAACCTTTATAAAAATAAATCATTGGTTAAATTATAAACAGTATACTTGGTCTGTTCTACATCTTTGGTTTTTTGTTTTGTAACGTTTGCCTGTTTTGTTTTAACAAAATCCGTTTCATCGTTTTCTTTTATTTTTGTTTCTTATTTATTCCTTTTTTTCACAAAATTCTGGAAGCATATAATTAGTAAATAAATATGGCTGTTTACATAAAATAACAGAAAATGACCAAAACATGAAATCGGCGTATGGTTAATTGGAGGTATCGAAAACACACATTAACTATTGGTTGTGTTTAATTGTTTTAATTTACCCGCATGCGATCACATAATTAAGTTTTAAAATCTCGTACCTGTTACTTACTACACGGTTTAAACCGGGTACTTGCATTTAGTACCCGCATTATGCAACGATTGCATAAAATACTACTCCCGCGCAAAGATGTTTTGTTTATTAATATGTAACGAAATGAATGAATGCAATATTCTTTATTGCACATTAAAGCCAGTGTACAACAGACGGCCTTATCGCTAAGTAGCAATTCTTCCGGCCAACCTTAGGACAGAAATTTAAGAGTTGGAAAGGGGCGTGCAACCAAAGAATATCCTGTAATGAAAGCGACTGATATATGTACTGTTGAACACAGGTCACCTACTAGAGACTGGTTAGCAGTTTAGAAGTAGAAGAGACGTTTTACATTGCTTTGGGAGTTAATAGTAGATAGGGCTTTCGTATTCGTACCTTTTCCGAGTCTGTTTCTAAAGTACTGCCTTCGGAAGAAAGAAAGGCACAAGCTACAAATTCTGAATTCGTAAATAAATGTGTTTAAATTTAATTCGACAAATACATCCAATGCGTCCTTTATCATAAGAAATATTAATAATACTAACGAGATTCGAAATAAAACTGGCTACCAGGCTGAATGACGAAAGATTTTCATGACTCTCCCACAATTTTTATTAATAATTATAACAAACTGGCACATGTCACGAATATTGCACAACTTTTCGCGACGTAATCCAGTAAACAATATAACCTGTTCTCTGTCAGTAGCATTAAACAATGAGTGATAATGGAGGTACCGATTTGTCCAAACATCTATAATTGTCAACGTTTGATCGATGTTGTGTTAACTTGGTTGCTTAACTGGGACTTTGTTAAGTTAGGAGCGGAAGCGAATCAGACGTAAATCTTCGCTGTCCCCAAGCGGGGGGTATCTACGTGGATTTCCTGACGTTTATAAAAGATACGAATAACAAAAATGCCAAAAACATTTTTTTTACCATATATGTTTTTTACAAAAAAATAATAATAAATAGCCTATGTCAGTAATGAAAATGATCATGACATACATTGACTTGCAATTATATGGACGTCGGGTCCGCGCTAAAAAGTGTCCGAACTTACAGGGCGTTAAAATCGTATACAGAGCGTCATTCACGCTTTAGTCTTCGTTTGTTCGACTGACAGCGAAGCAAGCAAAATTAGACAGTACTGCGATGACATTACAATTTAAATTCAACGTTTTAGCTTTTTCATATTCCTTGACATGTCACTACGTTTAAATTGGTTGACTTGGGACATTTTTTTCGTGGTTTTTGTATTAGACCCGTCGTCCGTTTATTTGTAAGTCAATGATGACATAGAATTAAATCTGCCAGTAGCTGTCAATAAGCGGTTCCGCGAACATGCAGGCTGATTTTAATTTAAATTGGAATCGATGGGCTACCCGGGCCCATCGGGTTGCCGAGCGAGAAGGTGAACCTGATACCTACTATATCTTTCTAATTTGTGAGTTAAATAAACTATTGTTCCGATTAGAAATGTCAAGTTTCCGATCGGCCAGTTGTGAATCGCAATTATGCGCCTCGACTCGGAAGAGGCGCAGTTTCCGATCGGGAGAGGCAATCAAAATCAAGCTGCAGAAGAGCAGCAAAAGCGTGGCAGTCCCAACAATATCCTCAACCCTTTATTATATTGAACACGCAGAGCATTGGTCGTCAATTTATGACGATCAAGTGACGGGACGTACAAGTCGTGAGCCTGGTGGTAATTGACACTACCACTACGCCCGTGAGAAGGTTGACAAGTGGTTGACATGTCGTATGTGCCTATAATATATAAGAATTTGCTACTAAAAATCGAATTAGGGATCTTTTCATAAAACTTTAGGGTCCACTGAAAATCAGCGTCACAGCCTTTTCCTGGCGGTGACATTAGCTGAGTGGATCCTATTACATACGCCACAGCTGCACACATGACAACTACTTAGTACAACAATAGTGTTGACTAGTTTTGTGGTCGCATAATTATTTATTGCTAAGATTTTATTTTTAATTAATTTTATTTAGTTTTCTTTTTTGTTATTCTATTTTCTGTTTGTTTTAGTTTTAATTTAGTTCTGTTTAATTTTTTTATTTTTTTTAACCTTTTATTTTTTACTGTGTATTATTGTTTTGTGGCGTTATGTAATAAATGGATTCTAGTCTATTCTATTCTAAACGGCAACAATTCCACTTATTATTAAATAGTATATAAATATAATCATATAATAATTAAAATGTAACACACTTTGTTTGTTTAGTAGAGTGTTACATGATAAAAAAGAAGTTGGTAGATAAGTTGAACCGAGCGATTGACTTGCGCCAAACGCCGCTTAGGTCCGTCAACGTGTGTGGCAAGAGATCTTTTTGACATACAACCATTTATCACTTCGTGTTTTTAAATATGTATTGACGTAATTTTTGACATGCCGACGGAGTTTTTTTGATTTTCGAGAGAAATTTTCAAATTTTTTTGATATGCCATTTTTTTTATAAAAAACAAATGCGCATTTGACCTCTATCTCACCTGATGGAAAGAGGTCGACGATGTATGTCTATTCATTCTCGCCTTGAAAAGCCCCAAGTTCAGGGAAGTACTGCCACTTACCTATTTCTGCCGCCAAACAGTAATGTCAGCATCACTGTATTCCGGTTTTGAAGGGTGAGGGTGCTGGTGAATTTACAGGCACATGGGACTTGTCAACTTATGTCTCAGGGTGACGGGCGCAGTGGCAGTGCCCGCAAGATCTTTGAATAGAATAGAATAGACATTTATTGGAACGCCACAACACAATAATACAAATCAGACAAATTTTGTACTGTCATATGTGTGGTTGTGGCTTACGCAAAAGGACTTCATTCGGCATAAGCTATGCTTGACAGCCATGATTGGCTGTGGCGCTGGTTTTCAATGAGCCCTGAGCCCTTTGCGATTTCAAGCTCTGAGTGGCACTGCAACTGTTATGGACAGGCGTGTCGCATACCATCAGGCGCACGACTTGTTCGTCACTTGATATTATAAAAAAAGACTATTTCGGAATATTTGTCTGTTTGCGTTAGTCCACACGCTAATACCCACAATAGCGGAACCTAGTTAGGTCTAGATTTCAATGGTACATTTAAATCGGTTAACAAATAAAACGTATACTTCAGTTTTAATGTGCGTATTGGACGTATGAAATGCGACGCGCGCAGACGGCGGAAACAGGGTTATATATCATATCATATATATCAGTATCTGCATCAGCATCCGCATTCATCGATGCTGATATTCGAGTCGGGAATTGATCTAAAAAGCACGCTGGAATAATTTACAACTCTTCTAGAAACAGACTACACTTGCGATTTATGTGCGCTTGCTTCGATGCAAACGCGTGACTTCATCGATACAAACGCGCGACTGCATCGCTACTGCATCGCGTTTGCATCGCTTGCTAAAAGTTGTCGTGTGATAGGCAGATTTTGAGATTTATTCTTTTGTTAATAAATGTCACAAGATCATTGAAATAATTTTTTATTACAATACCAAAGAAAAAAGAAAGCTTTTTCATGTAGACAGATTCAGTAGAGATGTACATTTGTGTGTGTGGCGTAAGGAAGCTGAGCCACGCGGCTGTAGGTGGACTGTACTTAGGGCGCTAGTAATTCTTTGCCTGTGCTATCCTGGCTAAAACGATATTGAAGTACTAACGCGTTCCTCCCTTCACTACGACGATAGCGGCGCGGGTGCGAGTCTTCAACTGGGCAGGAAGATGGCACAGTCTTTTCCGTTTATTTATAACGTGATCAGTAGCAGTGATAGAAGAGATAAAACGAAAAGGAATAATTATAACATTTCAAGTACAAGTTGGATATTTTCAGCGACACTGCATCAACACCGATGACACTACGCACCCAGTTATTTTTCCAGTCAGTACGCAGGGCATTCGATATCATTGTAGACTGAATAACACAGCAGAATACCGAGCAAGATGAAATCAGCATGCGCTGATGTGTAAAACACCTACGTCAGCAACAAGCCTAGACGGACAGAAGCGCGTGTGGAAACGACGGTGCTGATCGTACGTAGTATTTTAAATCATCTGTTGCTAATGTTCTTTGTATGTCATATAAATCACATACCTGGTTGTGGTAATGGGCGAGCGGGTGGTGCGGCACATGCCGCATCGCCGGGTGCAGCATCTCACCGCTGCTACCCTCTACCGCCTAAGAACGAAAACAGAAGTGTTAATAGTAATAATAATTTATTTTATTTCATGTAACATTGACACATGTTGTTTGTTAGTAAAATCGCTTAATGCTAATTTTAGTAAGTACAAAATTATACGTGAGACACTGCAGCGCCTCACGTATGGACAGTCGAACCTGTCCGCTATCGAGCGCAGGATGGGGTTGAGGCTGGCCCGCATTCGGCGCACCAGATACGCGCTTTGCAGACCATGCGTCGCGTGGAAGCAGTCAACTCTTGCTTCTACGAACATCCCTGACGCTTTACAAAAGCGGGGCAGCCCCACCAGCACCCGGAACGCATTATTATATTGAATATCTCCACAAACTGCACCTGTATAGGGAGGTATAATATGCTCTAAACAATGTTATTTTAACTTCCCTAGTACAACGAGCAAATTTACGGAAGATCATATTGGCCCTAACCGATAGAGCCCTCCGTTCCCGCTCGATATCGTCGTCCTTCAGGTCAGTCTCTCTAGTGGAAGACCACACAGTCTGATGGGAGGCACCCCAGATATCCGATAACAGTCGGGTTCAAATACCGTGTATTGGCTTTTTAAGTAATTTGACATTTTTAAACCCCGACGCAAAAAAGAGGGATTGTAAGTTTTTAAGAGTCCATACAAATGGCTTTGGTTGATTCCGCAAAACAGTGAAAGTGACAAATTAGTCACTTTGGAAAAAATATAAAGTCTAATTGAGGATATAGACTAATTAGCATACGGTGTGAAAACACGATTTCTAAAAATTTTCACGATAGAAAAAAAAAATATTATACATATACCAATTTTTTTTATATCAACTCAACTAAATAGAACACATATTATTGTAGTAATATGTCCCTGCCGTTCGACCCAAGCAAAATGAACCGTATTAGTACGGGAAAAAATAAATACGAATTGGATTCATTGCGCAAATGCGCTTAGGTGGAAGAATACCTGCGGTTCATCCTTCTCTCCCAAGTCGACCAGTTGAAGAGCGTCCTCGAGTAAGTCGAAGTGCGTTTCTTCACCGCCAAGTAACTCGCCGGGAAGATCGCCTTGCAGCACGTACTCGCCTGAGAACAATAACGATATAGATAAATAAAAGTATGTAGATAGTTTCTCGTCTTGGAACTCAATTTTTTTACAATGCCAAAGCAACATGACTATCCACAACAGATGCAGTGCCGTTCCGAGCTTTAAATCGCAAAGATGCCACAGCGCCTGTCACCCATCATTGTGATAAAATAAAAATACGTAGTGTACATACATGCATGTGCAATTTTTTTTCCTCATCCTGTTGAAGTTGTCGAAATTGAGATAGTGCTGATTGCCAGTTCAATGTTGATAAGTTGAAAAGTCCCATATGCCTGTAACTTCACCAGCACCCTTACCCTTCCGAATCGGAACACAGTAATACCCGTATTACTAAAATAAGTAAACTGGCAGTACTTCCCTGGACTAACTCTTTCTGAAGGATCTCTACTGCTACTAACATTATGTTAATACAAAGATCGAACAAAAAGAAAAATCCTTCGATTATATATATCCATAGCGTCTTCCAGTAAACCGTACTAGACGCACTGAGAACGTACAGAGAAACCAGTGTGCAGTAACGCGAGTCTGGTGTTTGCTGTATTTGTCGAATAGGCTAATAGTTAGTTACACATGCCAGAGGCGTAGCGTGGGCAATTATAAGGAAAAACAGGAAAGCGTATTTGAGAAAACGATATCCTGAACAACACGAAGGTGGTAACGACAAGCGAAAATAAAAACACAATCAAACCGAGCCTGCCCGAGCAAACTACTTTTTGTTTACGCTACAGATTTGTTTACGCTCTACGAAGACTAAGGCAAACTGTCTCGCGAGAAGCTGCGTTGACGGCCTCTCATAGCTACGTTTCGTCCGTGCTCAGCTACGGTCTTGTACTGTAAGGCAACTCAGTAGTCTTAGAAAGAGCTTTTAAGTCCAGAAGAAGTGTACTCGAGTGAATTGAGGTGCGTGGTTCGATGACAGTTGCAACCCGCTGTTCAAAAGGCCAAAGATATTGACTTTGTCATGCATTACATTAGGGATATTAGCGCATTTGTGAACTCTCATCTTCAATATTTTAAAACACGCGGTGAAGTCGTTCAAAGGCAAACTAGAGCAAAAATTATGAATCTTTTATACCAACCTCGTTGCCATGAAGTAATTTATAACTGCTTCAACATGTGTATAATTATTTACAGCAACTTACCAAACGAAATTAAATTGTTACAAGGACAAACTTTTAAATTACAATTGACATAATAATCTCAGTACAGTTTTGTTAACCGACTTCAAAAAAGGAGGTTCTCAATTCGACTGTATGTTCTTTTTTTTGTATGTATGTATGTTACGCGATAACTCCGGTATTTGTGAACCGATTTTCATGATTCATTTTTGTTTGAAAGGGGGTACTTCCATAGTGGTCCCATTTCATTTTGAAGAAAATCATCCACCTCTAAGGGTGGCTGTACACGCATGTAGATTCATTTTTATATAGCGACTAACTTTAATTTAGGAGGCATTTTTCTCTCAATATACTTTGAGTAGTGAGAACCGATTTTTATTATACACGTAATTCCACGTACTTTTGAGGTCGGTTTTTTTAGTACTCTGTACTGATTTGCTATTTAAAATGGTTATTTGACCTTTTGTCACTTCGCAGCGTTTTAGTTAGGGGACGGCAGACTTGAAAAAATAACCCTGAATTATTTATAAAAACTACACTACAAATATGTAACGTATTTCCTTGTGATATTTCGTGTTAAGTTAATATAAAAGATTGTTTATTAACTCAAAAAGTGTAATTTTTCAGAATCGATAAATAACAAATACTCACTTCCCGTGAAAGATCATTAAAGTTTATGTAAGGACAGATAAAAAGAGAACGGGCACTCTCCGACCCTCCCTAGTCTTAGAGACCGCACCACGCCCCCGCACATTGCCGGTCACAAGGATTGAACGACAATAAGGCTGCCGGCGAGCCGTTTTCGCGCGAAGACGGCTGTGATATTTGAATATAGTTTTCATTACGAAACATGTACGGCAATATAAAACATCATGTTACGTTACTATTTATAATGGTCATGAATTGTGCTGTGTACGGCTGTTTATTATAATTTTCCGAAAGATGAAACGAAGTAAAAAAAAAACTTATGACTGAGACTCATTCAGTTATTGTTTTCTTCATTTATTTACTGCAGATATACAAATACTGATTTATTATATCAATGTAATGAGACGCTATGACTTCGTGAGCTAGTAGACAAGTGTTCGCGAATTTTCTATTCGTATTGCCGATAAATATTACGTAGGTAGTGATTATATCTAATTATTAATTAAACTTGGACAAGCAATTTCAAATACCTTGGTTACCTTATTTACTTACGAAATATAACATTTAAGTGCTTTTAATATATTTTTGAAATAAATCTTCAACATTACTCTAGTTAGTGAATTAATTAAAAATATAATAATATATCGATATAAATACCTAATAGACATGTATAATTATTAGGATTCTATTAATAAAATCATAGATAACAGATTCGCATTACAATTTTTGCTATGTTGCCGCTCGGACCACGTAACATAATAGAGAAAGTGATGGGAAACCCTGCCACTTCACGCACACATTTGCGTGTGTGCAGATAGCGCCTTGTTGTATGTAGTAGTAATAGTAGGTAAATAACTTTCGACCGTTGTATGGAGTGTCCGGGGTGTAATATAGGGTAAAGTTTATTACTGACCTCTAAACAATTTCCTACTGGCCCAATTCTTCAAAAATAAAAGAGAAGAAATTATTTCATATTTTTGAGCAAGGATTGTATGTATTGGCCAGAGCTAGCACACATAGAGATTGTCTCATTTTGAGTTAAGTAGATAACTTTTTACCGTTTTATTGACGTGTAGAGAATTAAATTTTCGTTCCATCAACGATTTAAGCCTGAAATTAACACAGTTTGAATTACAACACTATTGTAATATTAGTGCGACATTTATTAAACCTAGTTAGATATCTTTACAGCTACCAGCCCTGGCTAGAGATATCGCTATTCATTGTATTTAAATTTTTATTGAATTGTGTGTGGCTTAGTCGGTATAGCGTCTGCCACGGTATGCTAGAAGACGTCGGTTCGAATTCGGTCGGATCGAAGGAACTTTTCTGAGTGTGTATTAATAATTTATTTTTAAGTAGTGGAGTAATTTCACATAAAAAATAATTGAATATCAATTCAATTAAAATTTAAGTATTCTTTCTATATATTTTTTTAATAATAAATAGATTAAGAAAAACTCGCGTGTTGTATTGACGCTCGCCTGGCTCCTTCCTACAATGAATCGCCGTCAAACGGCGCGAAAATTCAAAAAGGTCACGTGCACTGCGTCTATTTACTCACAACATATTGTTTACTAATTTTTACATTAATGTAATACTGTAAGTAGGCTCGTTATGGACCCCCGGCGTTAATTACACGGACCCCCCCATGGACCGCAGGTTAAGAAATCTTGCCCTTGAGTTTCTTACCCAATTCTTCTCAGGGGAATCTGTCTTAAGAATGAGTAATAGGGTTTAATAATGTGACGATTTCTAGGTAATTTGTTTGCTTATGAAATAAATATTTCTTTGAGGTCCTTAACGACAAGTTTCGCCTGGGGCCCCCAGAGACACACGCAGCCTTTATTCATAATAGTTAAGAAACGCCCTTGCATTTTCATTAACAAAAAACTGTATGTAGTTAACCAAATACGGAATACTTTGTTTAAACATTTCTTAAAGTAACTCGTAATCCAATTTGTACTCTTTAGTTAAATATTAACAATAAAAAAAAACAATAAGCGTTAACCGTAAAGTCTTTAACTGCAGTCCCTCTGTCAGTTATGATTTATAACTGGTATAGTTAAAGTTAAACCCTTTGCTACTGTTCAGGATTAGGCACGGTGGGCGACACAGTTAACCCTTTTATCTTTTCAAATGCATTTTGTTAACCGATTTTGACAAAGAAGGCTTTAAATCAGAGTGTTTTAGAAGTATAATGCATAATTTATTTTTCACCTCACTAGCTCGGAAAGGCTTTCTTTCTCATTAGAAATCTGCGTGTAACAGCGTTTTATGCACGCTAGCGTGGAAAAGGTTTTTGAATTCGGACTTGACGATGGCCTGTGGCGCACCAAATTTTTTCTTTCGATGAAAAAAAAACATAATGACACTTTCAATTACGCGATTTATTGTACATTATTTACGTAATATAAATTCGTTGGTCTATTTTATTCTCATTATTGTAGATGTTAAATTGACAATGATACCTAATATTGTTTATTAAAACTGATTTGTTATAGTTCAACTATTTTTCTTTCATCTACCATTTTCCTCGCTGTAGTGAGGTGAAAAGTTGTGTGTTTCGCTCGGCAGTAAAGTTGTTTTGCGTCTCGTGCCGAAATGTCATTTAATTTGTTTGAATTAATTGAAGTCTGCCATATCATTACTGTGACAACTGCGTTCCGATTGGACAGCCCGAATTCGAAACAATTCACGGGTGTCGTCAATGGGTGTCGTCAACTGTTTCACTTCAAATCGACCAGTTAACTTTAAGTTTGCTATAATGGACGAAAATTAAAAAATTACAATACAGAATATTTTTTGGAATATACGGAGACGTACACACAGGTCAGTAGTTGGCCTGTCTATATTTCAGTACAAACGAGAGTTGATATTTATAAGTGAAGTATCACTGATGAGTTACCAGGAATATATAGCCCTTATTTCGTCTCTATTTCTCGTTATATACTCGATGTTTGAAACCCTTGCTACGATTAGAATTTCAGAATCAAACAACAACTTTGCATCCTTGCATAACAAATAATTATTAAGGAGTTTTGTTGGGAGCGTAGTAGGTGGAGATCCACGGTCTCTGCCTCTCCCGGTGGGAGACAGGTGTGATGATACCGCACTGTTATTACAATAATGTTCTAACTCAAAATATGTGAAATACAAGATCATACTGTTGCTGAAGGTAAAATTTGAATCTCTACACGTCAATACAACTG